TTGCTATCAAAGTCTCTCAAAATCAATAGAGATTGCACATTCACCACTGAATAAAAGTTGAAAATCCGGCTACTTAATTCGCTATCCGTTGAAACACACCATAGTGAATTTTTTCCCTATTTATTATAAAAATATAAAAGGAATATTGTACAATTTTTTAATTGAAGTTTGTTATTTTTAATATGTTATTAGCAGTTTACTTCCATTAAACCAGTTGAAATCAGACTCGTTTAATGAAAGTTACTCGGTTAATACTCGCTGACTCGTTCATTCATTGGCAATTTCATTCACCAGTGAATAGCGAGTATGGTAGCTCCGTGTAATCGAACTTTATGTCGCAGAGCTATAGTGGGTGCGCGAAACAACTACCACTGTTTTGTATGTAAAGATAAATTAATATCTACCCTCTAACAAAGTGGTCTTTTAGATCACTTTATATGCGTATGTGTGTGTATTGAGAAGTGTGAATGGGAGAGAGAAAATATTGAATGTAACTTAAATAAATATTATAAACGTGATTTTATTCCAAAAATCGACTCATATTTTCCACATTGTGTTATCATTTTCAAACCATACATGAACTCCTTCCTTTTGTTTACAATTGTACTGCTGAATGCAAGAAAGGCTTCGATGACAAAATTCACCTTCGAGAAAAATGTCTCTAAACATTCTAAAAGTTAAATATTTCTTATCTGAAGCTGTTGCAAGACTGTCCTATAATGTTAAAAAATTAGATATTTCTTTTTTATAGTTTCATTAACAAATCGAGTTACTTATTGTATTAACGAATAAAATGAATTTTAATTCATTTCATTTCAATTCATTTAGTATTTATACAACATCTGAAGAAAATATTATAGTAATAAAAAGCGATGAAAAAATTCTAGTTTCCCTAGTTGTTTAATTTCGCATCTTCGATGATATCTTCAGTGTCAGTACATTCATTCAAGACGAAATCAACGAGTTCTTCAGATTCTGTAAGATCTTCTGTATTGTTTCTTTTGAATCATTTCTTCTTTTTTCATTCAGATTGATTTACGTTTGGCTTAAGAGGTTTTCCTACTGTAACGGCTGAAAAAAGCTTAATTTTTCGGGAATTTGAAACAAAGCATGTGCTGCACGTATCCTACTGCAAATTTGTGTATTTACTCTATCATCTTTTAACAACACAAAAATATTTTTTATAAGTGAAAATATCCGTTTGTTGTGAAATAGGACCACCGTGAAGAGAGGGCTGACACGATATCAGACGTTGTACTTATCCAAAATACAAACTGCAAATATATTCTTAATCTGTAGAAGTGTAGCTATCGTCTGAACTAGAATAATAAAAAACATATTGAGAAATAAAGAAATGGCAAGGTTTCAAGGAAATTGCTTTCGATTTTAGCAAAAAAAAAATGATGGTCTTTTTGACCGCAGGGACTGAATTTTGAAAATATTCGCACAATTCTAGTTCAGACGGTAAAGCAACATCTACTGAATATACCTGACAAATTTCGAGCAGATCGGACCTCTGGTTTTTTGATAATCACGTCAGCCAGTTTCGAAAACGCGTTTAAAGTTATAACTACAGTTCAGAACTATATAAAACCCCTTCCTTTGAAGGCATTCTGCCTGTTCTGCACAGTAGGAAGACCCCTTAAACATATTTTTGAGAGACTAGAAGTCACTTGGCCAACATTGATGCACAAAATTTGCCGTAACTCCGACAATTTTGAAGGTACAACAATGAAATTTCGGGGGCGTGTGTAGAAAAGAATGTATTATAAAATCTAATTAAACATTCTACTTAAAAAGTGTCTCAACGTCTTCAGGCCCTTCTTGCATCAAACAGTACCTACAATTGAACGTTATTAATAGGACATGAATAGTTTGACGCGAGCACTCGTAGCTCGCAACACTCTCGACTACCTGCCAGTTTGCACCTTGAGCTTTCCTCGGTGTACATTTCCTCTTGCGTTAAGTTGCGATAGCGGTAGATTAGGAAGAGTAGGCGGTCGTCGCTTTGTTATCGTGGCGCGCGTAACAAAAGCTCTCGAGCATGGCACGCGGTACTTCTCTCATGGTCTTTTGTGACGCGCACCGCGATAACAAAGTATTCACCGGTCCCTTTATCAAACAAATTAACGTTGCTACCGCGAATTAATTTGTTGCAATCTTGCTAAGCAGTATATTGCGGCTTCGCGTTAATCGGCGAATTTCGCTGTGATAAAGTCATTTCCTTTCGTCTTGACACATTGCGGGCAAGTGATAATCTCGTTTCTTTTTTCCTTCGATTCTGCAAAAGTGAAATTAGCAAGCGATGGTGAATTATGTTACTTCACAAAGCGTTTGTTTTAATTTAAATGTTTGAATTGAGATACATATTTAGTTTTTTGGTAAAAGAAATTTTGTAATTAAATTAAATTAAGCGGTTTATATTTATTGTAACATTTAGGGTGTACTAGTGCAGTATGTCCAAAATAATTGTACTAAAAGTATTACTTTTTAATGTATTTACATTTTTTTTTAGTATCATTTGACAAATTCGTTAAAAACATTAATATTTATTTG